TTTGTCCTGTAGGCTCGCCCGTGGATTGCCGTTGCCTGATGACTGAAGATTCCTTTGAAACATCGAGCGGCGGGCTATGCTGCAGTGCACCACCATGCCGCACGCACGCCAATCCACACCACACAGACACACATACCCACGCGCGCGCGCGGGCACACACCCACACACACACCCCAACTCACTCGTCCGCGGCGGTGTCGAAGCGCGTGGTAACCAGATTCGCGGGCGGCGTCATGCTCCCCAGCACCAGCACGCCCGAGTTCGCCATGCTGTCGTAGCACAGCGACCACACCGCCGCCACCGCCGCCGCCGGCCCCGCAGGCGCCGCAGCAGCACCAGCACCACCACCATCAGCAGCTACAGCGGCAGCGGCGGCAGCGGTGGCGCCAGCGGCGGCGGAAGCAGTGCCGTTGGCGGAGGAGGCGGAGAGTTGCGCGAGCAGCGAGTACGGCTGCGTGCCCAGCCCCAGCGCGCCGTCCACCTCCGCAAATATCCCGCTCCCCCCTTGCGCATCCACCCGCGCGCACCTGGCGGGGCGGGGGGAGGGGGGGGAATGGGAGGGGGGGGAAGAAAACAGGGGGTCGCGTGGGACGGGATGAGGAGGAAACATTTCCGCATATTCGAACTCCGACTCATGGGAATTCTCAAAATCTCAAACACCTCACACACGAATACACGTGCGCAAGCGCACACGCGCAAACGCGCACGCACGCAAAAACACACACACAGGCACACACGACTATCTCACCCGAAGGCGACGGTGGGCGCGGACACGACTCTGTCCGCGCTCGTCACGCGCAGCGCGTCTGTCAGCACGTCGCCCGCCGAGTCGGGCGTGTAGTACTCGCACACGCCCGCCTCCGAGTACGTCTCCAGCGCGCCGCACGCCGCCATCGGGAACGCCGCGCACGCGCTGCTGTTGCACGCGAGCGCGGACGCGGTCGATGATGCGGACGAGTTGAAGAACGTGCGCGGCTTCGTCGGCTGGCGGGGTCGCGGGAGAGGGGAGGGGAATGGAGGGGGAGGGGATGGGACGGGAGGGGAAAGAAGGAGAGGGGATGGCGGGAGAGGGACGGGGTTGGGGAATGTGCGTAACGGACAGTGAGTGAAGTATCGGGAACAGGGATGGGAAGTGAAGTGCGCAAGACTCAGGCGGACAAGAATACGGGAGGGGGAAGGGGATGCGCGGAGGAGGGGAGGAGAGGAGAGGAGGCAGAGGGGAGGGAGGGATGGGAAGAGGGAGGGAGGTAGGAAGGGAAGCGGGGAGGGTGCACTGACGTCGGTGGGGAGCGGCGAGGAGGGGCACTTGATGCAGTCGCAGTAGAGCCACGAGAGGCTCGACACCGTATCCAGCACCACGTACGCCTCGTGCGGCGGCGTTCCCAGCGTCAGCGTCGCGTAGAAGCGCCTGGGGGACGGGTGACCGATGACGGGGGGAGAGACGGGGGATGGGGAAACGGGAGACGGGGGACCGGGGGACAGGGAATCCGGGAGGGCGGAACGGGGGAGAGAGAGGGGGAACGAGGGAAAGGTGAAGGAGATGGGAGCGGGAGCGATGGGGTGGGGAGTACAGCGATGGATCAAGAGGGTGAGAAAGGGAGAGATTGCACGGGGAGTGCCGAGCGGGGATTGCTGGAAGCGTACGGAGTACGAGTAAGAGAAGAGCAGGGGAGCTGCTCGGAACAGGGGAGTGTGGAGAAGTGGCGAGCGCGTGGTGAGTGGTGAGCGCGTTGGGAATGGTGAGCTCACCCATAGACGTAGGGCGAGGAGAGGCGCAGGACAGCTGTTCCTCCTGCTGCCGCCTCTGCCAACAGTCGGCCCTGAAGGGTGCGGAGAGAGCAGAATAGGGCAAGGACAGGGACGAGGAAGGAATAAGAACAGAGAAGAGACGAGCTTTGGTGACGTCTCAAAAGCAAAGAGCCGGAGAGCTGGGGCGTTAGGCGTTCTTGAAATGTTTTGCGGTCCGGGAAAAAGCACACGAGACAACGCGAGAAATCGAGGGCTCTGCACGATGCGAAGCCGAACAGCAATGACGGGTGCTGTGGGCCGACGACTAGAAGAAGAACCGCACCACAGAGACTGAGAGAATTAAACATTATCGCTTAGACATTTCTCTTCAGAGTGTCTCGCAGGCTGCGCATCTTCCTCCTCTTCCTGCTCATTCCTCCTCTTCCTGCTCCTCTTCCTTCTCATCTTCCTCCTCTTCCTGATCCTCCGCCCCTCCGGTCCGCGCCCTACCTGATGCGACAGCTCGCTGGGCGACGAGGAAGTAGCAGCAGTAGCCACAGCAGCGGCGACGTTATCTGCGGTGCGCGCAAGGCTCCAGTGCTGCTCAAGACTGCGCCCCCTCGCCATCTGCAACCGCTCCAACTCGCTCAGCCGCCGCAGCTCCCTGCGGTTGCTGTCCAGACGCGATGCATCCTGCTATTAGAGAGAAGAGTAGAGAGTAGGCGTCAATTAGAGTCTACTGTCGAGGCGCCTCAAACGCAGCTCGCTGCGGTTGCTGTCCAGACGCGAAGCATCCTGCGATTGGAGCGTAGAGAATAGAGAGCAGAGTCGAGAGTAGGCGTCGATTAGGGTTGAGAAGCGGCGAGAACCGCGAGTGGTGAACGGGCCTTGGGCCTTGGATCCGAGACAAGTGGCAGTGGTCGTGGGCGCTCGAGGGCATAAAAATTGCTGCACCTGCACTATTGAGGTCAGCGCAGCCCTCATGGGTAGATATTTTACGAAGCCATGACAACGACGCTAAGGAAAGAATCTGGCACGTGAAGCTAGTGGAAGCCAGGGGTGGGGATGTATGTGAAAGGCAGGCGTAAATCCACCAGATTACGCCGTGTCAGCAGTGTGTATAAGCAGGAAGGCTACACGCTTCCGCGAGAGGGCTATCCTATGGATATGCGAAGCGCATGCTAGTAGCCTGTCTGGGTGTCGGGCACAAAAGTGAAGCTGGCAGCGTGACGAGCAGTGGAGCGGGCACTGGCAAACTGTGCCTGTTCAGACGTTCCTACGGGCACCGTCTGTTGGCGCGCACGCGCATCGTATCTGCGTATCTGGTGTTATCGGATCAGCCATGCTGAGATCGGCTCGGTGTTACGGTGTAACATGCGGATCGAGTAAACAGAGGGGGAACGAGTGCACTGGCGGGGCGAGTGACGAACCTTGAAAAATCTCTCGTGAGCGTCAGCTGGGCCCACGAGGCTGATAAGGAGAGCAGCGACAACCATTAGTAGGTGTAGAGGACACCTTCTCATCCGGGATTGCCTTTCACGAGATGGTGAAAGCTTGGGTCTGCTATTCGCCATGGCTGGTGATTGAAGCGCCAGGGTAACGGCTGATGAAAAGGAGAAGTTGAGCGTTTAGCGCTGGTCGTAGGGGCCTCGTTATCTGAGGCGGGTGTGCGGGTGTGGCGAGCGTAACTGGTTTTGATTGCTAGGCACGAAAGCTACCTTACAGCTGACTGATTGGGTGAGAAATTTGCTTCTCTGTGCACCTTTAGCACAACTATATAGCCGTACAAGCGTGAAAGTGACACGGTTTCGGAGCTCGACCGACCTGTGCGATTTAACCAAGCCACGAATCTAAATTAAGAACGAAAACGCCTTTTGGAGCAGAACACTCTAGCTTCCCTGAACGTCCTCAGAAGCACAACTGCGGCCCACGAGTGGCTTCGATGTCCTTGCAATTTTCTTTCTGGCTGCAACAATGGAGCTGAGCTATCGCTGCTGAATTAGTGTGACCAGTTTTGGCGCAAAGGCGGTGAAGCAAGGCGACAGACCAAGTTGTGTTGCGAGAGGCGTGATGTGATGAGAGACTTGCAAATTTGGCGATCAAGCGAGCGAGCGAAGAAGAGACACACACAGAGCCCTCAACAAAGCAAACCGACCAACTTGAGCCGTCAGTAGAAATTTGAAATCCCAGATCCTACGGTGGGGAGGGGACTGATGGGAGGTGGATGAATGAGGGGGTATCTGCCTTTTCATTGCCGTTGGTTCTGGCTTCGCGCCGCGATCAATTCGCAACATGCGACGCGCCTGCCCTGGGCCTGGAGGAAGGTTTGCGGGCAGGTCTCTCGCAGCAGGATTCGCGTTATGTTCCGTCTGTCCCTATGCCCAGCCCAGTGGCGAAGAAAACAATAAACAATGCCGCTTGCGCGGCGCGTGCGCTTGTGGCGATGGTGAGGGGGGATTGCTCGCTTGGGGGGAGACTGCGGGGATCAGGCAAGCAGGCAGGCAAGGAATCAGCCGACCCCAAGGTCCGCGGTTCAGAACTGCGGTACGGTGCAGCCCAGACCAGCCTCTGTCGGAGATTTTCCCGCTTTTGGTTGTACTCGCTGAGGTATGAGCAATCGGCACATGACTGAACTATGAAGCAAAACACCAACAGCGCGGTGATAGAGAAGGGGACATATCAATCTTATATTTCAATTAATATATAGTGGCTAAATTAACTGTGGCACAAGGACGCCAAAAGAGTGCTCCCATCTGCACTGTTTCTCACTAACATCCCACAACAGCCTACATCAAGCCTTCAAAATGGTTTTTGGGGTTCTGGATGCATGTTGGGAAGAAGGCCCAGACAGGAAAGCAGCTATGGCAAGAGCCAGCAAAAGAGGTGAAGCAACATTGGGAGACATCAGCAAGTGAGGAGACCACCGAGACGTTTAAAACCCAGTTCAAACTAAGGGAGGGAGAACTGGAGCAGATAATTCATAACCAGATCTCCACTCTGGGCTGCATCCTGGGAATGCCTGCACCAGTCTAAATAAATAGCATCATGGCTCAAGGGTAAGTCGCAGTGGAGCTAAGGAGTGAGGCAGAGCACAGGAGGTGGACTGGCATGTGATGCAAGGCTGTTTGCTTGGCAGTTGGCAGACAGAGTGTGCAGCACCACAGGCTTGGCAGAGAGGGCACACGGCCAGTAGAGGGCACGAGGAGGGGTGGTTAGCTAGCTAGAGCAAGAGCGCTGCCAGAAGAAGAGACAGCATAGGAGCCACGAGCGCCATGGCCACGCGTGAAGCAGGCTTCGGGGGAGGGGGGGGCGAGGAAGCAGTTGCTGGTGCAGCAGTGGACGGGGGGGAAGTGCCAGTAGGAGTGACAGTGGGAAGAGGCGGGTCGGGGGACGAGGGGCGGAGGGTGGTGGGGGCGGGAGCTGCGGGCGCGGAGGAAGGGGACGGAGCGGTTTGAATGGCCTCAAATGTCGAGCCTGCGGCAGTGGAGGAACGGGAAGACAGGGGGACGGGGAAGGATGAAGGTGAATGGGAAAGTGAGTACGGTTAGGAGCGATATGGTATGCAACAGAGAGAGGGGGGAGGGTGGGGAAGATTGTTGGAATGAACAGGTGCGTTGCTCAGGTAGTAGATGGGGCGATCCCAAGGGTGCTGACAGTGGAAAAGTGCTGGCATTGCAAGGGCGCGGACAGACATTGCAAGGGCGCTTACAATTGTAGGGTGTGAAGGAAATGGTGCTGTTCTCAAGGTCAAACTTCCAGTACGTGTCCAGCAACCATGGCGCTGAGGTGCCACCACATTCCATGGGGAGGGGGTGGTGGTGGTGGTGGTGGTGGTGGTGGTGGTGGTGGTGGTGGTGGTGGTGGTGGTGGTGGTGGTGGTGGTGGTGGTGGTGGTGGTGGTGGTGGTGGTGGTGGTGGTGGTGGTGGTGGTGGTGGTGGTGGTGGTGGTGGTGGTGGTGGTGGTGGTGGTGGTGGTGGTGGTGGTGGTGGTGGTGGTGGTGGTGGTGGAATGGAAGAGGGAAGGGCAAAGGGGAGGCAACAGAAAGACAGAGTGAACCAGGTCACAAGGTGTGGAAAAGGAAGAGGGGGTGGAGAAGGGGGGATATGGAGGGGAGGGAGGAGATGGGGGAGGGGGGGTTTGAGTTTAGAGCTTGGTGTAGCGAGGGCATGTGTTGCACGCAACGAGCACAGGCTTCTGAGCTATGTGCTCGGGCTATGCACATAGCACAAGAGAATAAAGGGGCCCAAGCCAATGAGAGACCTGAGTGGCGGGGAGAGGAGGCCGACGCTAGTAGCAGCAGCAAAGAGTGTGTGTGTGCTTGCAAGAGGGAGCACTCACTGCCCATGTAGACATTGCGGGGGGCCCAGTCCGGGTGTGATTCCGCCAGCAGGCAGAGAATCTCGTGGGTCTCGTTGGCCTGGGTGGGTGCACAAGCACACAGGCATGCGGGGTGCGTCAGTGTGTGGGTGGGTTGGTGGGAGGGGTTAGTGGATGGATGGGTGCATGGGTGGGTGAAGAAGGGGAGAAGGAGGATGTGGGCTGGGAGCATGGTTCCTATGTGATCTGTCCTTACGATTAAAAATAGATTGCAGAGGTTTCAAATGTAAAGAAAACTGGGGAGGAGACAGAGAGCGGCCAGTAGTCAGCGGCTGTGCGGCTGTGTGTGAAAGAGAAAACACGCTTCTGAGGTCAGATCTCTCACTACGGAATACATGTAGTTGGGCCAAGTGACTGAGAAAGAACCCTCTGGTAGGACACTTGAGGCGACTCAAAAGTCGGGAGTTTTGAGAAGCCGAAAAAAATACTCACGACAGAGTACATGCGGTTGGGCCACGTGGCTGAAAACGAGTGTTGAGACGTCTCAAAAAGAGCAACACAGTTGTGAGGGAGAGGAGAACTCACAACGGAGTACATGTAGTTGGGCCAGGTGACTGAGAGGGAGCCCTCTGGGAGGTCAAAGGAGATGGGCGGGAAGACCACATCCGGGCTCGCACTGGTGGTGGTGGTGGTGGTGGTGGTGGTGGGCGGGTGGGTGGGTGGGTGGTTAGTTAGGATGTGCGGGACAGGCAGGCAGGCAGGCCAGGGGTGAGGAGAAAGGAAGCATTGCGGTGCAGAGCAGACTGAGCGGCAACACAGCATGGCACAGCACAGCACAGCACAGCACAGCACAGCACGGCACAGCACGGCACGGCACAGCACAGCACAGCACAGCACGGCACGGCACGGCACGGCACGGCACGGCACGGCACGGCACGGAGCACAGCACAGCACAGCACGGCACGGCACAGCACAGCACAGCACCACACGGCACAGCACGGCACGGCACGGCACAGCACAGCACGGCACAGCACAGCACAGCACCGCACGGCACAGCACGGCACGGCACGGCACGGCACGGCACAGCACAGCACAGCACGGCACGGCACAGCACAGCACAGCACGGCACAGCACAGCACAGCACAGCACAGCACAGCACGGCACGGCACAGCACAGCACAGCACAGCACGGCACAGCACAGCACAGCACAGCACAGCACGGCACAGCACAGCACAGCCCGGCACAGCACAGCACAGCACGGCACAGCACAGCACAGCACGGCACAGCACAGCACAGCCCGGCACAGCACAGCACAGCACGGCACAGCACAGCACAGCACGGCACAGCACAGCACAGCACGGCACAGCACAGCACAGCCCGGCACAGCACAGCACAGCCCGGCACAGCACAGCACAGCACAGCACAGCACGGCACAGCACAGCACAGCACGGCACAGCACAGCAATCCACACCACATGTGACTGGATGATCCAGCAAGAAGAGGAAGTGGATGGGGCACACACGGCACTGCCATGCATGTAAGGACGGTAGTGGTGGGGAGGATAAGAGGTTGGAGTCACGGTTGGGGTGTTCTCTTGTCAAGAGTAGATTCAAGTGTGGTGTGCACATGTGGTGACAGAGGAGATGGAGAGAGCACGAGGGCGAGTGTGCGTGGGGAAGGTGGGGTTGCAAGGAAGCAGAGGGACCAGGACAGAAGGTGGTTGGGGAAGGGGAAGCGAGGGAGAGAGAGGGGGCAGAGCCGGAGGGTGTGGGGGGGGGAAGGCGGGAGGAGGGAGGGGGGAAGGGGGGGGGAGGTGGGGGGTAAGGGGGGAGGAGGTAGGGGGGAAGGGGGGGGAGGGAGGGGGGAAGGGGGGGGGAGGTAGGGGGGAAGGGGGGAGGACTCACCCAGGAGCCAGCACGCCACAGTAGTAGCCAGTGTAGCCATCCACACCAGCCTCCACCACTGCATCTGGTGCATACACCTGGTGCCATGCACGGCGTGGCGTGGTGTGGCATCATACCACATGGCATCATATCATGTAGCATCATACCACATGGCGTCATATCATGTAGCCATCATACCACATGGCATCATATCATGTAGCCATCATACCACATGGCATCATATCATGTAGCATCATACCACATGGCGTCATATCATGTAGCCATCATACCACATGGCATCATATCATTCCACAATGCAACAGGAGCACAAGGAAAGCATTGAGAAGAAGCAATTAAGTCGAGAACAAATACCACGACACGTCACAGAATCACCGCAACAACAGAAGACGAGGCCAGTCCCTTCCCAGGCTCCACTCTCTGCTCTCCTCTGCTTCTCCCAACAGCTACACCTGGAATCTAGTTTTGAGGCGCCTCAAACCCAGGCTCCACTCTCTGCTCTCCTCTGCTTCTCCCAACAGCTACACCTGCAATGGAAGCATCAAAGCTGCCTGCCGTGGCACAAAACAACGACGGAAGCACGGCAGTGACGAGGCTCTCGTAGGCGGAGCGGCGCAGCGAGAGGAAATCACGCGCTGTGTCCCGGGAGAGAAGCCTCCAAAGTGTAATGAGCCGTGTTTTGAGTCGACTCAAAACACGAGGAAATCACGCACTGCACTGTGTCCCGGGAGAGAAGCCTCCAAAGGAACCCAAAGAGGGGGATTCCTGGTATCAACCCCACCACACCCATCCCGTCCCACCTCCTCCCACACATGCCCAATCACCCGTCCACCCGTCCACCCATTCACCCATCCACCCGTCCACCCATCCACCCGTCCCCCATAAACCTGTCCACCCGTCCACCCATCCACCCATCCACCCGTCCACCCATCCACCCGTCCACCCGTCCACCCGCCCTCCAGATCACGAGCAACGCACGGCAGTGACGAGGCTCTCGTAGGCAGCGCGGCGCAGCGAGATGAAGTCGCGCGCTGTGTCGAGAGAGAAGCCCCCGAAGGACGAGTTCACCATGCCCCCTATGCCCTGCGTGCCGTTCACCTCTGCCCCTCCCAGGCGGATCCCCGTCACGTTCAGCAGATAGCGCGAACTGGCAGTGGGGGAGGGGGGGGTTGGGAGGAGAGAGGGTGGGGGGGGGAGAGGGAAGAGGGGGAGAGGGGCAGGAGATGGGCAGGGAGGGGAAGAGAGGGCGCGGTGTGTTGTGAGTTGATTTGAACCACGGGGCTGTGTCGAGGGAGAAGCCCCCAAAGGACGAGTTGACCATGCCCCCTATGCCCTGCGTGCCGTTCACCTCTGACCCTCCCAGCCGGATCCCCGTCACGTTCAGCAGATAGCGCGGACTGGTGGGGGAGGGAGGGAGGGGAAAGGAAGGGAGGGGGAACACAGGGCGTGGGGAGAGGGGAGAGGGGAGAGGGGAGATGGGAGAGGGGAGAGGGGAGAGGCGAGAGGGGAGAGGGGAAAAAGGAGAGGGGAGAAGGGAGAAAGGAGGAATGGGTAAAGAAGAAAAACGTGGGCAGGAGAAAGGAATGAGAAGAGGGCGTGAGAATCAGGAAACGGCAAGGCTTGGAGGAGTGGTGGTGAGCACTACGAAGCAAGAAGGGGAGACGGGATAAATGAAGGCATGACAGACAGATTACCAAACGCTGCTACAAACAATACCAAACAAGGTCAGTGCAAACGAAACCACACCACGCCACGGCAGGCACCATAGCATACCACAGTGTTATCAGATCCCATCAGCAGCACCAAATCCCGTGCCAGCCACGCGCGCACCTGTTAACCGCAACCCTGAAGGGCAGGGCGTGGTGGTGATGAGTCCCGTCCCGAGGGGGCCCCCCACGCTCGGTCACAACAATGAGCAGCTTCTCCTGGTGGTGCCACGCCCGCCCGCCATCATCAGTTTTGAGGCGCCTCAAAACTAGCAGCTTCTCCTGGTGCCACGCCCACCCGCCCGCCATCACCAGCCTTGAAGCACATGCCACCCCACCACGCACACTGCACTGCACGCACCTGTTAACCGCAGTCTTGAACGGCGTGGTGACAGGTCCCGAGGGGGGGTCGGGCGTGGCGCCCACAATGAGCAGAGCAGCCCCTCCTGGTGCCACGCCCACCCACGCACGCACCAACACACCCACCCACCCACGCACCAACACACCCACGCACGCACCTGTTAACCGCAGTCTTGAACGGCGTGGTGATGAGCCCCGAGGGCGGGTCGGGCGTGGCGCCCACAATGAGCAGCCCCTCCTGGTGCGGGCCGTCGAGGCAGAGGGAGAAGGCGTTGGGGCGAGGGGCGGCGCTGGCGTTGAGCAGGCTCGTGGCGTGCAGCTGAGACGCGAATGAGAATGGCCCCGCTCCCAGCCCCACCGACCCGTCCGGCCCGAAAT